GCCTTTCCTTTGTCCTTGTAATAAAAGCATTTGTGAAGAAATTCACACTGCACATGCCATCTGGCATCGCTGGAACGAAATATGAGTGCACCCTAATTAAAATCGTAAAATTTCTGACAATGGGCACCGCCATTCACTCCAACTATCACCCCTGCACCGCTGACCCTCATTCCAAAAGAATGTGCTGGTTGGGCGACATAACAGGTTACCGCTACTGTTTATTCCAAAAACATTGTGCGTCTTTCGGTATTAATTTATCTCTAAACCCAGCATTTTAAATTCTCAGGAACGATCATTGCGGGAAAATTGTGGGCCGGGACTACGATTTTTGAACGATCGATGCGATAAAACGATAGTTCGAGGAACGATAGAAGCGGGAAAATGTAACATTATTTTATATGGGATGTATTCGGGACCGAACAAAACGGACGATGCATCCGGGAAAACGATAGTTCCGGGAACGATGGATAGAGGTTTCACTGTATTTTCATTGATGAAATTCATCATAAATAACCTAGAACTGTTTCAGATTAGTTCGTCTATAAACTACACTATCATATGGAATAAGAACCATCTTCATAGACCATTTGGCAACCTTTCATGTTTTTAGAAAGGTGCTCAATGCGGTGACATCAAAATCTTCAACAGAGAAGAGACCTGTATTTTTATTTACAAAAATGAATTCTTTTAATATACCATGTCTCTGGATCATGGTACGTAGAAAGACAGCTGCAAAATGTGCAGTGCTTAAGTGCTGATAGGAAATTTATTAGTCATTAGGGAACATGGGCACCATAGAAAATTTTGCCTTTTATAACGTTATCATTCCTTTGGAGATTCAGTGTATAAAACTACTAAACATATAAAGCTAATACTAAACTCAAAAGTCATATGTTTGATTGTAATTCTTCTTCTCCTTCTAGCACAGTTTTCAGTTTTAATTTATTGTCAGCTTTTTCCTCTCTTCTTAATGTCTTCTAGTACCTGGCTGATCCATCTTTGTTTGAGTAATCACATGAATAATTAGTAATTATTATTCAGAAATATCATATTGCAGCTATTTGAGTTCAGTCAGGTACGTTGCTGTTAAACTGTCACAACAGATATACGCACATGGTTTTGAACAACATTTATCTGCAAATTGTCATTACTGATATGTTATATGAATTCATGAAAATTGTTTCATATGTAAGTGCATTCTTGCTCAGGGCTTGTGCATCTCCTTCCAGAGGTTACTTTCACATGCACATGTGGCTCTCCTTAGTCCAGTTATCCTTAAATATTCTAAAATATAATTCTTCCTTCCTAATAAGATGTTATAAAGAAATTAGGTAAATATGGATTCAGATTTTGTTACAAGATAAAAATATAACTGGACACTATGATGCCCATCCTAACTCTTGTCCCTAACCACACTTTAAGACATATTGGTGCTATAGATTGTATAAAATTATCATGTACTAGTTTGGAGAAACCTCCAGTGGTATAATACACATACAAAATTTTATGATAGTCCATTCAGCCATGCATGAGTTACTATATAGGTGATAAAACCATAATGATTAATGACATTATCACCACTTACGATATCAGTTTCTCAGAGTATCATGGATAATGGTGAAATGGCAGAGGATCATTTTCCCACCCCATGAATTTGAACATCCATCACCTTGCTACGTATTACTATTTTCAAGAAAATAAGAACAGCAAGTTTGGACTAGCCCCTAATACTATAATCTTCGCACCAAATTTCATGGAAATTCAATTAGCTTTTCTCAAGTTATCATATGACAGAATATGTAGTCCATACAATGAGCAATGGATGGCAGCACATCTGCAGAAAGACATAACTGATAGACCAGACCAGACCCACAAAACACGCCTATAAGGTGTTCTTTGCTTATGATAGAGCTAAGAACACCAAAAAATTGTGAAAACATGTCGCACATTGGGACACATTGTTCTTACCATGAGTTGGGGAAGTGGGGGGAATTACACCACCTAAGGTAATGCTGCCACCCAAATTATCATTCAGACGATTTGAATTGAGTGTGCTTTGTTCAGACTGTCATCTCAGGTGATGGTATACAAGCAGTCTCGAGCTGTTTTGGCAGTTCCGGTTGTCATATTTTTTTTGTGGTGAAGAAAAATCTCATTGTAAGCGTATTTCTTCTAAGTTTTAAAGTTAACATATTGTATGGAAAGTGTAACTTATTGTTCATATTTTTAAAAACAAACGATAATAGTTGAAAGTACAAATATGCATGTATATTCTTCTGAATCTGCAGTCTTGTAACATACTGGGCTCAGGCTGGAATAAATAATGTGTTATTTTAACCATGTTTGGGGCAATGGCACATTATGGTGTGACTTTGCACCAGTACCAGGCAGTGTGATGACATAAAGTCTTCTTTCAGCCCTGGCTTGTGATCTGTGAAGCAGATTCTGTAGTTGATTTTATGTGGGAAACATACTTTGAATTCCCATGTGATTAGATTTGTCACATTTTTCTTTTTCTCTATACATATTTTAACTAAATGCAAGTTCCTACTTACGTGTATTTTGTAGTAATATTTTGTACTTGTACATGAAAATACTTAGAAGTACCATACAAAATACTATGAATAAATAAATATATCTGTTAACTGAAAGCATCATTCTTTATCTTCATGGGATTTGTACAGGTTGGTATAACCCCAGGTACATGGAAAAATTACCCCATACATCGGGGGAATTCCATCAAATGTGCTTTTGAAAAATTTTGTCAAAAAATCACATGTTGAGCAGAAATTTATACAAAATTCTCCATGTGTTGTCTTCTTGACGAATTCCTCTCTAAGATTCAGCATTTAGTTTTTGTAAATAATGTTTATGAAGCAAGAAAATTGAATTTTCCCTTTAGGTGGCACGATTCCCCCCACTTCACACGTGTGGCAGGAACATGTCATAGTCATTATAGTAATGTGAGGTAGTCTTCAGTGTGTTAAGTTGACTATTACTTTCTCATTGAACAGGAGCTGCATCAAGCCCCCAGCGTAGTCTGAAATTCAAAATCAAAAAGCCATGGACTACTTGTTTGGGTGAAAACAAGAAAAGCTGGAAGGAGCAAGCAGCACGGGGTAAGTTGGAATATTTAAAAGAAATTTACTGCATTGTTTTCTAAGTAATGGTTTCATGTCGTATGCTATACAGAACATAAGATAATTTTTGTATTCACCATCAGGGACAAAATAACCGATGTTTGGAAAATGTCATGTCAGATTAGACTAAGTCTCTCCCTGTGGGAAAGTCGATCGAGTTTGAAGCTGAATGGTATGCTAAGTAGAAGGAAAAATGCATGGAACTCTACATTCACAATCATAGCAGTTATGTAGGCATATGGATACATTTGTCACTCTCTCTCTCCCTCTATGGTGAAGGATATTGTTTGAAAAGTCGATTGTTTCTTGGCTTGTCAAATAATATCCACCTTTTTTATTAAACCCGAAGGTTCATCACCGTATTCACAAAAACCGACCACTGGACTCTATCCTGAAGTATCTGCATGCATTTTGCTACTTCGATTCCTGTCTCCCTGAAGTCCATCTTAACATTATCTTCCCACATATGCCCAGATCTTCCCAGCGGTATCCTTCCTTCAGGCCTTCCAACCAGTACCTTGTAAACACCCCTCCCTCACCCATGTGTGTCACATGTCCCACCCACCTCACTACCTTGATTTGATCACCCTAACAGTATAAGATTAGGAGTATATGCTGCCAATGCAATTTCCTCTCTCTTTCTAGTCCTAATTTCTTTATCAAAACACTGTTCTCAAAAACCCTCAATCTACGAGGGCCTTTCAAAAAGTAACAGCAAATTGACAATATTTCACAAAACTAATACCCCAGGCATTTCAAACTCCTGCACAGGGAAGATACATTCTTAGAGAAGGTTTTGACACTGCCCAATAAATGGCGTGGCGTACTTAATTGGAAGGGATGCAAGTATGAAATGGCGGTGCCCTTACCTGTTTGCATCGTAGAGGAGCAGCGAGCAATCATCAGATTTTTGTGGTCGGAGGGTGTGAAACCTCGTGAAATTCATAGAAGAATGCTGCATTGGCGAGAGAAGAGTGTACGAGTGGGTAGATGCATTTAAAAATGGGCGAACATCAATCCGTGATGACCAACGCTCCGGTTGTCCGAGCACGGCCGTCACTGATGAGAAGGTGGGTCTCGCCGATGCCATTATTCATGAAACAGTATCAGAAAAAGGGTGAAACAGTGAATAGTGTCCAATACAGCACACTTTTGGAGGAGGAGCTGAAGCCAGCAATACGGAGCTGTCACAGAGGACTTTTGTCTAAAGGCGTTCTTCTCCTTCATGATAACACACGCCCTCACACGGCTGCTGCAACTCTTGACACCATTCAGAGATTGAGATTTCAGATATTACAGCATCCCCCATAGAGCCCTGACCTTAAACCCTCTGATTATTATGTGTTTGAACCCCTGAAGGAATATTTGGGAATGATGACGAGGCTGAAGGCACAACCAAAAACATTTTTTTCTGATGGAATAAAGAAGTTGGTGCAATGGTGTGAGAAGTGTATTGAAAAGGAGGGTGATTATGTAGAAAAATGACATATCATTTGTATCTCTAATTAAATTATATATCTCAGAATATTTAATTTGCTGTTACTTTTTGAAACACCCTCGTATGTTCCTCCATAAAGTGAGAGACCAAGTTTCGTACCCATAGAGCATAACTGGCAAAATTACATTTTTTATTTTAACATTATTTTTTTGATATGAGATGGCAGGACAAAATATTTTGGACTGAATGATATCAAGCATTCCCTGAATCTAATTTACTCTTGATTTTGTCATGAATGTCATTTCAACTTGTTAGTGTCTCTCCCAAGTATTTGAATTTTGTCACATTTTCTAACTATTCATTAGCTATCCTTATATTCTGGTTCTGTCCTGAATTATGATGCCAAGACATTATCATTTACTATGTCTTTTCTGCATTTATTTCTATACCAACATCAGTATTAGCCCTTAAGAATGTTTCTGTATTCGTTTATATTGTATTTATGTTATCACCCAACAGATTAATATCATCAGCATAGACTAAAGCTGATGTGTCCCATTCAATTCCAAACTGTCCTGAACCTCTTGGACTCTCCTGATAGCATATTCTAAGGCAAAATTGAAAAGCAGTGGCAATGGAGTATCTTCCTGTTTCAGACCATTCTTAATAGGAACTGTATCAGATAAATGTTTACCTACATGAATTTTGCTAGAGGTTTCACTTGAATACGTTTTAATTAGCTGAACAAGCTTCTTAGACACTCCAAATTCAAGAAAAATATTGTAAAGAGCTTCTCTTTTAACACAGTCATCGGCTGACTTGAAGTCTCGAAATATTTGATATACTGTCCCATTGTAAACCCATTTTGCTCTAATATCTGGTGAATGTAGAACATTTGATGAGTTTTTGATGTATTCTTAAGGAATGAACACTGATGATCCAGAATAATTTCAACATCATATCGAGTCAACCTCGCCAGAAGAATGTTGGATAACATTTTGTAGGCAGATGATAAGAGGTAGCCACGTACTGTGGGTCTCATGTCACAATGTCACAGTGCATCCGCAGGTTGTGGATGAAGGAGACAACCTCCAGATATGGAAGCTAGCTGCGAATATACTGAATAAGCAGTTGCGGACAGCCAACAAGAATTAGCTCCACAGCTTGGGGGTTTGGTGTGGGGCTAACAACTCCATACCATGAAAATAATAAATTGTTACGAAATATTACACATGGCCTCGGACTGGGACGGATTATTTGGAATGACCTAAGCGAAGGAAAATGTTTGTGAGATTTGGCACATGGAATATAAGGAGTCTGTATAGGGCAGATTCTCTGGGAACAGTTGCAAGAGAATTGGCAAGGTATAAGTTAGATTTAGTGGGAGAACTGGAGGTCAGATGGGACCATCTGTACCAGCTGGCGATTATACATTTTTCTATGGAAAGAAGAATGATAATCATGAAATGGGGCAGGATATTTGTACATAAGAGAATCATATTAGCAGTTAAGAGGGTAGAGTTTGTTAGTGACAGGATGTCATATATAATACTAAGAGGCTGTTCGTGCAATGTTACTATTCTGAATGTGCATGCCCCCAATGGAGGATGAAACTGATGATACAAAGGACAATTGTTATGAGGAACTAGAACAAAAATTCAATCAGTTCGCAAGGTACCACATGAAATTTTGTTAGGAGATTTCAATGTTGAAGTAGGTAGAGATGACATATTCAAACCAACAGTTTGGAATGAGGGTTTACACGAAATAAGTAATGATTATGGCATTAGAGTAGTAAACTTTGCCACATTCAAAAACATAATAATAAAATTATACAAATTTGTTCTTTTGACATCAGTAATATGTATACAAATATTCCAACAATCATGCTACGAGATATTGTAAGAGATATTCTAAATAGACAGAATATAAATACAGATCTAATAAATGAAATTACAAATATAACTAACATTATTATTAACCAAAATTATTTCCAATTCAACAATGAATATTGGAAACAAGAAACAGGGTTACCCATGGGAGCTCCAACCTCGAGCATATTATCTGAAATATTCTTACAATATCTCGAGCATGATTATATAGTAAATATATTAAACAAATATAAAATCAAATACTGTGGTAGATATGTTGATGATATACTCATGATTTTTGATGCAAAAAATACAAATATAAAAAATGTTTTAAATGAATTTAACAACATAAATCAAAATATACAATTCACTTTAGAAACAGAACAAAATAACAAATTAAATTATTTAGATCTAACTATAATACGAAACGAAAATAACTTCGAATTCAAAATATACAGAAAACCCACAAATACAAGCACCATAATTCATGCCTCTTCATGCCATCCAAATGAACATAAACAGATGGCTATTAATTACTTAATAAACCGAAAAAATACATATCCCATAACCACAATAAACAAACAAATTGAATGCAACATAATAAAACAAATTCTAATAGAAAACGGATATAATAATTACGAATTAAAACCCAAAAATAAAATAAACAATGTAAACAACATAAATGAAGACGAAAACGAAAATAAACAAAACAAATGGGCCACATTCACATATATAGGTAAAGAAACCAAATATATAACAAAAACATTTAAAACAAATAACATAAAAATAGCATTTAGAACAAAAAACACAATAAAAAACATCTTGAAACAAAAGCCACATCGTAGCATTCATAAATTCACTTTGACATCTCCTGATGGAAAGATGCACAGTCAGATTGACCACATTTTTAAAGAGAGGAAAAGACATTCATGTGAACTTGATGTCCGATGTTTCATGGGAGCGGACTATGATATCAATCACTGTCTGATGGTTGCAAAAGTTAGGGAGAAACTGGCAGTTAGTAAACAAGGAACACAATAGTTTGGTATGAAGAGATTCAATCTCATGAATGAGGTAGAAGGTAAAGAACAGTGTCAGGTTAAAATATCAAACAGGTTTGCAGTTCTGGAAAACTTAGATGATAAGGCTGACTAGTAATTTTCGAGGCAAACCACTGCTATCTGATCACCATGGGGGTAAAAACCCACAGTGGGTCTTGGCCTGCTTAAGACAACGCCTCCATCGAAAAGGTTGAGGGCGATGTTTTTCCAGTTTCTGATACTGATGTGGAGATATTTTCTAAGCCCATCAATCCATGGGAACTTGGATATTCTACATATTCTAGTACCAGCATGTTTTCCTAACATCGGTTTATTTGTGGGCTGTTCATCATTCATTTAGCTTTTTTTAAAAAAATATTCAGCGTCATTATGTAAGTTGTACAGCTCATGGCTATGTCTCTTCCTCCAAATACCATTCTTTTGAATGGCCATAGCTCTTCCTTAATATCCTTCTTTCAAATGTGTTTAAGGCCTTTTTGTTAAGGCGCCAGGTTTCAGATTCTAATAATGCTATTGGGAGTATTAATGTTTTGTGAAGAATACACTATATTTCTAGATACAGATCTTGATATAAACAAGTTATGTAGGCCATAATATGCTCTATTGGCAAGGAGAATTCTGTTATATATATTTCATCATCCATATTGTTAATAAAGTTAAGTTTTGACCGTAGATATAAAATTTCCTTGACCACTTCAAAATAATATTCTCCGATAATAAGGTTCTGACTTGTTATATTTCAGCGTGCTTCGCTTGTTACATTTGTTACACCACACATTATGTTTTGGGGTCATTTAGTTGGAGACCAAATTCTTTGGCAGATCTCTCTGATTTGATGAAGACTTAAATTTGCCACGCATGCAGCGGCCATTGAAGTTAATGTCATCGGTATATACCAGTTTTTGTGTGGATGTATTATATATGGTACCATTGTTTAGGATACCAGCATCCCTCATGACTTTCCATGCAAGTGCATTCCCATGCCTTCAGCTTTTATTTATTTCAAACTGCTCTGACATATTGTTTTGAATTTTGACGCTACTCTGAACTGTTTTCATTTTCATTATTTAGTCTGATTAGTTTTTAAGGTATTCCTAGGTGTAGCATATCATCAGGTAGTTTATTTCTGAGTATACTATCATATGTCACTTTAAAATTCACAAATATGTGGTTTGTGTCTACGCTATGTTCTAATGCTCTTTCAAGGATTTGTCGCAGGGAGAATATTTGATCATTTGTAGACTTGTCTGCTCAAAAGCCTTTCTGATAGTGGCCGAGTATATTTTCAACGAACGGTTTCAATCTCTCTTAGAGTATAGTAGAGATTTTATACCCATGTAGTTGGCTTCCTTTCTTAGGTATGGGGACTGTAATACCTTTATTTCACTCTTCTGGTGAAACTTCAGAATTCCGTACCTCCCCAACTTTTGTGTAACTCTGCTGGTAGACTGTCAGACCCCAGAGACATGTTATTTCTAAGTTTCTTAATTAAAGCAACTGTTTCTTCAACAGCAGGGGGTGGCTGGTCAGGATTTATTATTGACTGTGACTGAGGCTACTGAATATTTGGTTTACAGGGGCATTGCTCTGTATCCTCTCTGTTTAGTAATATATGAAATTCCTGTGCCCATCTACTGAGAACTTCGGTGTTATCATTTATCAGAGTTCCATCTTTGTCTTTACAAATTATTGTCCTTGGTTCATAATCTTTTCTTGTTAATTTGACTGTTTCGTACAATTTTGTTGTTCCTTTTCAGTCTGTAAGATCTTCTAGCCATTCTAAACACATTTTTCATAAGCCTGCTTTCTGAATTCCTTTTCTTCTAATGGTTTAGTTTTGTATTCTTCCCCTGAAGCTCTTGTTCGATGTCTTTGTAGCATAATTAGGCTTTGTTCTTCACTGTTGTTGCATGTGCACATTCATCATCAAACCAATGTTTTCTTACTTCCATCTGTTTTGTGCCAACCACTTCTTCTGTCGCTTTCGTTATTACATCTCTACATGTAGTCCTGCACTTGTCAATTGTAGTATCATCTTCTACTGCTGATGCTTGTATCTTATCAACATAATATTTTATCATATTTTCATCAAAAGTGCTTTTGTATCAAACTTTGCTTGAATGCTACTATAGAATTTTTTGCATTAGAAATTCTTGCTCTCAGCTTTGCTCCTACCAGATAGTGGTCAGAGTTGATGTTTGCTCCTCTGTATGTACGTATATCCATTATGTTGCTTATATGTCTTGTATATATTATGAAATTGTTAATTTTGGTTTGGTGTCGGTTCTTGCGCGCATGCACGCACGCACGCGCATACATATGCACACACAAACCCCAATTTGGTCTTTCTGTCTGATTGACTTTCATTATATTGGAATATGGGATTTAAACACTTGTTCTATTGGTCTGCCAGCCAGACTGACTGTAGTGTAGAGGTATGTTAATGCAATGCACAGGCAGCTGCACTGTGCATATATTGTGAGGCACAGCTGATTAAATACTGACTCCATTTACATATTGAAGCTGAACTACTATTTTTATGTTATGTATTAAATGTTAACAGCATCTTGTTCATGTGAGTGATGATAAAAGTCAGAATGATAAGTTTTGATGCCTTCTTGTAGATGCTGAACTAAGATCGCTGCAACAACAGCAACAACAACAGAGTGAAGAAGCTTTATCTACAGAAGAATAGCAATCATCACTACAGCTAGTTGATTCACCACCATTGCACAGTTGCATCAGAACTTTTGTTGGGTGGCTATGAAACGTCCAGGACACACTCAGTTATGTCCAGCAAGGACAATTCTAAATATTTGAATACTAAACATATTCCACAATTTCTTTTGCTGGTCTTATAGAAATTTGTGGAAGAACAAACTGCAGTGTTGTGCACAGAATTTCCAATCTCTTATGGAAATAAATACACATCAAAAATATTAGTGGCACTAGAGGTCAGTTCTTTTATTTGCCATAACACAGAAACGCCATGTTGAACATGTTGCTAAGAGCCAAATTTCGAACGTAGTTGGTGGTTGCCAATGTAAAAGAGTGCATTCATCAATTAGATAAAATACATTCAGTGTTTTACTTTGTGTGAATTATACAGAGCATAGAAAAAAATTAAAAATCAACAAATACACAAATGCTTGAGGTAATCAAATAATATGAATATTTTTAGTGCATTAATGATTTAAATTATTTGGTGGTCAAAGAGTTTACATTGATAAAGGTATGGATTTGTCGGTATGTCAACTAATGGGAAACACAGTAGTGGTACCTGTAAACCATCAGAAAAGTTTATATTAGTAACAACCTTATAATCACACAAATATTACATGCTTCAATACTGTGAGAAAGGAAGAACAAACATTTAAATTGTTTATTTAGAGTTTCGTTGTTTTCTTTTAGTAATAAATGAACTAATATCCTGAAACTTCAGAA